TGATTATATGTATGCTTATTATCAACTCGAAGCCTAGCATTTTCGAGGTTACTTGCTCAAATAATTCGATTATAAGCATAATTTTCAGATTATACCATTAAAATAATTTACCTTAACAATGCTAGTGAATTTAACTCTCAAGCTTTTAATGATTATCATATGTCTATTGGAATAAGAGTTGAATAGCTTGTTGCTTATGTTCATACTCAAAATGGTTTAGCATAATCATTTATTAAAAGCCTCTAATTGATAGCTAGACCACTACTTATGAAAAAAAAACTTCCTATTTATGTTTGGGGACATGCAATTTTATATACGGTAACACTTATTCGTATCGGACTCACAAGTTATCAAAAATTATCTCCCCTTCAATTAGTGTCTAGTCATGAGCCTAATATTTCTCATTTGAAGATTTTTGGATATGCGGTATATGTCCCAATTACTCCACAATGAACTAAAATGGGTCTTCGGAGGAAATTAAAAATATATGTCGGAGGTGAATCTCTTTTTCTAATTAAATATCTTAAATCATTAACGGCGAATGTTTTCACGGCTCGTTTTACCGATTGTCATTTTGATGAAACAATTTTTTCAATATTAGAGGGAGAAAATAAACAGAATAAGCGATTATAAATATTAAAAAAGAAATTATGTGAAATACTTCATCTTTATATCATTTTGATCCCTATACAAAACAATGTGAACTTAAAGTTCGAGAGGATAATTCATTTACAAAGTCTTACAAAACAACTTCCAGTTGCATTCTCCGATCCAATGAGAGTAACTAAATCACATATTCCTACCGGGAATACTTCTATTAAAATTGATGTCCCGAGTAGGATAATCTATTAGTATTATAACAAATGAATCTAAAGCACGCTTAAAGCGTGGAACACCGATCGGTTCTAAAGATAAAAATCTACAAAAGAAAAAAAATAATCAAGATGAAAATATAAAGGAGGCATATAAAACAATCTAAGATGTTTTTGATAACAAGCTTCAGAAGAAGCCTAGATGCTTGAGAAAAATAATTTTTTTTTGATAAATTATGTTAACACATGGAGAAATGGGATCGAAAATAAACATTCATTGATAACATCTTAGCATATAATGTGGTAATTGATATTTTGAATAAGGATCATGAGCCTAAATCTATTGAAGAATGTCAACATGGAGATGATTGATCTAAGTGGAAAGATGCAATTCATGAAGAATTAAAGTCTCTAACGAAACGAGCAATTTTTGGACCTATAGTTAAAACACACGAAGATTTTAACCAAATACCGGTAGGATACAAATGGGTATTTATGCAAAAATGAAATGAAAAAGATGAAATTGTTAGATACAAAGTAAGACGTGTAGGGTAGGTTTTCACAAAGACCTAACATTGACTATGAAGAGACATATTCTCCTATAATGGATACAATTACATTCCGTCATCTTATTAGTTTGATTACATGTGAAAAACTTCATATGCATTTAATGGATGTAATCATAGCCTATTTATATGGTTCACTTGATAATGATATCTATATGAAAGTCCTAGAAGGACTTGAAATGCTCGAAGCATGTAAAATACATTCTCGAGAGATGTATTTGATTAAATTACAAAGATCTCTATATGGATTGAAACAATCTAGATGCATGTAGTATAATCGTCTTAGTGATTATTTATTAAAAAAAGGTTATAAAAATAATCCAATTTGTCCATGTGTCTTTATGAAGAAATCCGAAAAGGGGTTTATGATAATTGTTGTATATGTTGACAATTTAAATATAATTGAAACTCCCGAAGAGATTTTAAGTGCCATAAATTATTTAAAAAGAGAATTAGATATGACGAGATCTTGGAAAAACAAAATTTTTCTCGACTGCGATTCGAACACTTAAAAGATGAAATTTTTATTTATCGAGTCAACATATATAGAAAAAGAACTACAAAGATTCTATATGGATAAGGCTCATCCATTGACTAGTCCAATGGTAGTTCGTTCACTTGATGTTCAAAAAGATCTTTTTTAACCTTGAGAAGATAAAGAAAAACTTCTTGGTCTTGAAATACCATACCTTAGTGCAATTGGTGCATTAATATATCTTGCTAATAATACTCGACACGATATATCATTTTTTGTAAATTTATTAGCAAGATTTAGTTCTACTCTAACATAGAGACATTGGAATGAAATTAAACATATACTACGTTATTTCCAAGGAACAATTGATATGAGCTTATATTACTCTAACCAATCAAAGATTGGATTAATTGGTGATGCGGATGCAAGTTATTTATCCGATCCACATCAAGCTCGATCTCAAGCTGGTTATGTGTTTACATATGGAGATACAACTATATCATGGCGTTCTATGAAGCAAACTATAGTTGCCACATCTTCAAATCATGCGAAATACTAACAATTTATGAAGCAAGTCAAAAATGTATTTGTTTAAGATCAATTACTCATCATATTCGAGAAACATGCGATTTATCCCCTAATAAAAAAATTCCAATAGTCTTGTATGAAGATAATACTGCTTGCATAACTCAATTAAAGGAAGGATACATCAAAGGTGACATAATGAAATATATATCACCAAAATTATTTTTTCACACATGATCTTCAACGACATAGTGATATTAATGTTTAAGAAATTCGATCTACCGACAATCCAATCGATTTGTTTACTAAGGCATTATTTATCACAACTTTTGAGAAGATGATTTTCAAGATTGGAAAGCGTCGTCTTAGAGATCTTAAATAATGTCTTCAATAGGAGGAGACCAAAATAGAGATTAATGTATGTAAGGAATACTATACTCTTTTTCCTTCACTAGGATTTTTTCCCACTTGGGTTTTTTCCTAATAAGGTTTTAACGAGGTATGTTCCTTGTACAATGGACATCTAGGGGGAGTGTTATGAAATAATGAAGTCCATATGAATATCCATTTACTTTTCATATTCCAACTACTTATGATTCTTAATGTTATTCAATTTATCATTTAATATGAAAAATTGAAAGGGTGATGCGATTGATGTATTTTTAATTATTCATAGTCGCTTCCAATTCTCATCTCAATTTTGAAGCCTATAAATAGACTTCATTGTTCATTAGTTGATGTATAAATTTTCTAAAACGAATAAGAGGAATTTTAAAGTTCTTATCACTTATATTCACTTTACAGTGAATTCCTTTTCTTATCACCATTTTCTTCAATTCTCTTATTATTTCTATTTATTTTATAACACTTTAATTCATTTTTGAATATTATAAGAGGCTTAATCCTCATGTATCGATCATATATTCGTATAGAAGTGGTATCATTAAATAGTTATGATGATGTTTACCACTTTAATTCAAACGTGAGCAACACATTGAGAGTATATTTAATAATCTTCTTAGTACTTGCGGTTTTTTTGAAAACATTATGATTATTGTACGTTTAAGTTTAAAAAGTAGTAACATGGTAAGATAAAATTCATAATAACTAAAAAAAATAAAGAATTTTTAACTACCTAAACAAGATTTTTTTCTTCTCTAAGATAATAAGGCACTTTTTATTTATTTATTAAAATTACACTTTTATCATTCATAACAATTACAATCATAGGAAAAATTAATTAAATTACGACAAGATAAAACAATTTTTTGACGAAGCAATAAGTAAATTTACTCAATAATTTATAATCGTTTATATATTAAAAAGCAATACAATTGTAATGTTTTCAAGCCGTAAACTCAAGAGGGCCTAACCATGATGTTATTATCTGATTCCTGATCCTCCCAGCCCAGCCAGCAGAGCCTAAATATTAAATATAGGGAACTTTTTACAATCTCTGCAAGTCTGACTGTCTCTATCTCCGTCTCTCTCCACAATTTACCTCGAGTGGCTGGGCTGCACCAACACAAGCTTCAACTGTAAGCCGATCTTCAACAGATCCATCAGTTTTTCCTTCCTTTTTTTTTTTTTTTTCATTGCTCTTATCTCATTTCCTTTGCTGATATATATAATTTCTGCATCATTTTTAATCTCATGGGTGAGTCTTATTATTAGATTGGCAAATTCAGAATTTCCAACTTGTATCCATGTTTTGGTTTACCTTCAAAAGGATTAGAATTTCTGGCTTCGAAATGCAAAAATTAAATTTGCCCATTTTGATATTCTATTCTCTTTTCCTTGTTTTTTAAATTTGCTGGTAACAAATTTGTTTAATAATAATGTAAGGATAATTTAGAAACTGAATTGAAGAATGAATTAAAAGTGAGCCAAACCCAAAAAAAGTAGAATGGAATTGCATTACCTAGATCTGTACGAAGTTTTGCCATGAAACCAATATTTGGAGCTAGCTTAGGTCCTTGTCATTAGCTTTCTTTCTTTGCGACTCGTTGTAACTGGTAATGTTCTTCTGTAGAAATTAGAGCTAAAAGGAAATAGTTATTGCTGTTTCTGATGCAGTTTTTATAGGCAATGCTTAAAAAAGAAGGAAAACTAATCAAAAGGCTGATTTGTGGAAGCATTTGTCAAAAACTGTAACTTTCAGACAACTGAATTCATATTGCATTGCACTCGCAGAAATGCCAAATATCATAGCTGTAATAGGTAGTGTTTTCTGGATGTTATTGTGTTTTTCTTGTTTGTGACTAAAATCATCCTCCAAAGTATAACAATTAGCATGATTTGCATTTGAGTTTCTCTTATAAAATTTGTTCTTATTATGACATTCATTCGAGCTTCATAGATGCTAGATGTCATCAACTTGAACTTTCTTAAACAAGCAATTATAAGTTTTAATGATGTAGATATGGCAATTATAATTTTTGGAACTTAGATACTTAAAAGATAGTTTGTAAAGAACAGAGCTTTGTTTCTTTTCCATCTCTAAATAGCATGTATAAATTGGGAGTTTTGATTTTCTCATGCTCTTCAGTTTCAGCTGGTCTAAGGTTGTTTCTGTCTGCAGAGAACTGAAACATCATTGAAAAAGAGTTGCACTGTAGTTCAATGGATGCTGAGCACAAGTTTCGAGTCCGCAGATTGAAGATGTTAGATAAAAGCAAAGGTTTCATAGAGCTATTGCAACAATTAAGTGTTTGCGATTCTGTCTCAGATAAGGAATTTGAAGAACGTCTTCAAGAGATTAGCTCATATGGTGATGACCATCTTATTTGTGTAATCGAAGATGATCATTCTGGGAAGATAATTGCGACTGGGAGTGTCTTTATTGAAAAAAAGTTTTTAAGAAATTGTGGTAAAGTTGGCCACATTGAAGACGTTGTGGTTGATTCTGCAGCTCGAGGGATGCAATTAGGAAAGAAAATTATTGATTTTCTTACAGATCATGCTCATTCAATGGGTTGTTATAAGGTGATTCTTGATTGCAGTCTCGAGAACAAAGCATTTTACGAGAAATGTGGTTTCAAGCAGAAAGAAGTTCAAATGGTGAAGTATTTCATTTAAGAACAAAACTTCTTTACCTCTTTCTTATCAATGTATGTTGAACTTCTCTTCTACGAGGGGAAAAAAAAAAAAAGAGATTACCCCTCTTCCTTGCCATGTAGCCAGCACTGGGAAATAAAAGGGTGTAGGAAAGTATGGAAGAAGAGAATAATAATTGTATTGTCGTGTACAAAGAGTTACAATTACAATCTACATTTATAGTAACTAGACTAGCCTATTTAGAAAGTATTAGCTATACAAAGGGACAAAATTTTCTAACTTTCTACATTTACATCATAAATTATTTTATTCTTAATTATTTGCTTTAAATACTCTCCTTCAAGTTGGCTTGTAAATGTCTTACATGGCCAACTTGCTTACAATATAATCAAACTGAGTTTTAGGCAATCTTTTGATGAGAATATTACATATATGTTGATTTCTAGGTATGTAAGGAATATATATTAAACTATTCTCAAGTTTTTCTTTGATAAAATGTTAGTCAACTTCAACATGCTTCGTTCGTCATGAAGAAGCTGGATTATGAGCAATTGAATTGTAACTTTACAATCATAATACATTTTCATAGGAAGTAAAGCTGGGAGCCGTAAATGTTCTAATAATCTTTTAATCCAGATTATCTCATAAATGTCATGCGTAACATATTTAAATTCGGTTTCGAGTACTACTCCATGCTATAACACTTTGCTTTCTACTTCGTCAAGTGACTAAATTTCCACCAACAAAAGTGCAATAACTTGATGTTGATCACTCGGTCAACAATGCTTCCTGCCTAATCAATTTCAATGTAAACTTCTACTTGAACATTACCACTTTTTCTAAACATCAGTCCATTTCCAGGTATCCCTTTAAGATACTTTAGTATTCCGTATATAACATCAAAGTGTTTTTTGCCCGAAGCATGCATAAATTAAATTACCATGCTCATAGCAAATGTAATATCGGGATGAGTGTGTGATAATTAAATAAGCTTACCAACCGGATGCTGAAATTTTTCTCTTTCAATCACATTTTCGGTATTAGGCTGGGTTTAGCTTCAAATTGCTTTAATTGGAGACTTAGTTGCTTTACATCTCTAAAGGCTAGTTTCATTAAGTAAATCAAAAATATATTTTCTTTGATTTACAAATCTACCTTCTCTTGATCTTGCAAACTCTATACCTAGAAAGTATTTCAATACTATTAGATTTTTAATTTCAAACTCTTCATCCAATTTTTTCTTTAGCATTGATAATTCATCAAAATCATCACCTGTTAAAATTATATCATTAACATATATAATTAAAATTACAATCTTGCCTTTATCATAATGTTTATAAAACATAGTATGATTAGCTTGACTTTGGCAATATCTATAGCCTTTTATCGCCTTCCTAAAACATTCAAACCATGCTCCGGGAGACTCGTTTAAGATCATACAAAGACTTCCTAATTTTGCACACTTTATTTCGGCCAATAGTACTTTAAAAACCTGGAGGAGGGCATTTGAATACTTCTTTTTTCAAGTCACCATTCAAAAAAGCATTCTTTACATCTAGTTGTCGTAGAGACTAGTTAAAATTGACTCCAAGAGACAATAACACAAATGGAGTTAATTTTTACTACTGGAGCAAAAGTTTCTTGGTAATTAATACCATAAGTTTGAGTAAACCCCTTAGCAATAAGTCTTTCTTTGTATCTTTTTACACTTCCAAGCTACGTTGTATTTTACAATAAACACCCATTTACACCTCACTATTTTTCGATCTTTTGGAAATTCCACAATCTTTTAAGTCCCATTATTCTTCAATGCATCAATCTCCTCAATAACTACTAATTTCTACTTTGGATCATCAAGTGCTTTTCGAATGTTTCTTGGGATAAAGAAGTTAGAAATTTTTGATATAAATGCCTTATGTTTATAAGAGAGCCTATCATATGACATATACTTTACAATGGGATGATTAGTACAAGAAAGAGTTCCTTTCCCAATGGCTATAGGTATATCCGAATCATTAGATGTTTCAATAAAAGTATTAAGAATAGGAGGAGAATCAATAGAAAGAGATGAAAGCTGAGGAGAATCAACGGTATCTAAACCCGAATTTAAAGCATTAGATTGGCTTGGTGGTACTTTAGGTATAGATGATTCTTTACCTTTTGAATGATTTTTCTTCTTTGTATAAACAATAACCTCGGGCTTATATTCCTTAGAATTATTTGGTAGTGTTTCTCCCCTTGTCAAAGATTCCTCCATACTTGCGGAATAGGATTGAGAGGTATGACTTTGGGTAAAATATGCTGAATATTTCAACTATTTTCTTCATCTAGTTTCTCTTCCTAAAGAAAATTATTGCTAAAATAAGGCTGATTTTCAATAAACACAACATCCATAGTAATAACAATTTTACGAGTTAATGGATGAAAACATTTATATCCTTTCTTATTTGTTGCATAACCAACAAAAACATATTTTTTAGCTCGAGGATCAAGTTTCGACTGATCCTTTTGAGGGATAAAAACATAAGTTATGCAACCAAAAACTTTAAGAGGTAAGTGTGAAAAAATTCGACTATTTGGAAAAAAATATTTGCAAAATTCTAAAACGTGTAATGTAATTCAAAAAACTAGTAGGCATCCTATTAATTAAATATGATGCGGTTAAAATAGCTTCACCCTAGAGATATTTAGGAATATGCATAGAAAACATCGAGTGCACGTGCAACTTTTAGTAAATGTTTATTTTTTGTTTCGGCAATGCCATTTTGCTATAGTGTATCAACACAAATAAATTGATGTTGAATTTTCTTTTCTCCGAAAAAATTATCGAGATTATTATTAAAATATTCGGTGCCATTATCGGTATGAAAAATTTCAATTTTTATATGAAATTGTATTTCAACCATTGCAAAAAAATTTTTTGAATAAAGTTTGAACTTTAGATTTATTATTCATTAAATATACCTAAAATAATTGAATATGATCATTAATAAATGTCACGGACAATTTTTTTCAGAATAAATTTGAATTCTTGAAGGCCTCTCGTCACTATGAATTAGGTAAAAAGTTCGAAAAGACTGATATCACTACTCCAAAAAGGGATTATGGAAGTGAAATGTTTTGGGTAGTTAATAAAATTGCCTCAAACTTTAATAATTTTAAATTTTACATAATTTACAAACAAAAATATGAGGTGGTTGATAAAACCACCCCACCTCTTGAGATTTAGTACCTTTTCTTTCTTTTTCTATTTTGAGTTCTTTTAATAGAACCCCTTCGTTACTCCAACTCTCTCCTCAACTTCTAGGTTTTTTCTTCAAGATCCAGATCTCTGTCTCGATAAGCAGCAGATCCCTTTCATTCACCCTCTCTAAGATCCAGATCCTCACTTTGACTAGCAGTAGATCCTCGAACTCTTTCATAATTGCATCAAAGTCGCTAGTGAAAAAGTCCATTCTTCTTTCCGTCCCTCCCTTCTCTCTTTCTCTAATAAGTATTTCTCAATGTAATTATTATTATTATTATTATTATTTTTTGTTTTTGGAGTAAAAAATAAATCAAAAGAACACATGAGAGTTGAATTTGATAGACCATCTCGACTGAGATCATCAAGGTCGAAGAAGAAAATGATGCTAAGACCAATTTTCAAAAGGTAAAACATCATTTTTTTAATTTGTTTATCTTTATGCAAAATGGAGCAGAAGTTACATATGGCTTGGCTGTTATCATTCTTGTATTTATTTATTATTTTTTTTTTTGCAAAATATGAAAAAAATTGATAGTGCTGAATTTGTTTTATGGCGTTTGGGAATCTATGCAGGCTAGCTATGTCGGTCTAATAGGTCAGAAGATCATGACCCATGGCCTGAACTAATCAATGCTGCAGATGATAACTCATCTCGATGAACTGGCCACTTCACTCCATGTATTGTACAAGGATCTTCCTTGCTTGTTTATGCCCATCATTATCTTGTTTATTATGGTGTTTGACCCGGTCTCGTCTTTTATTAGGAGCCAACTGTCATGTTCTTTTTTCGCCCCCTCATCCCCTTCTGGTTGTGGAAATTTCCCGTATCTGTAGAGTCAGCCTATGGTTCATGATTTTATAAATTTTCTAAAGATTAAAGAACCTAATAAGTATATTTATCTTTTACAGATGCGTGGAAGATGGCACTGGCTGTAGGTTAGATGCTGTCCACTCAATCTCAATTTTCACGGTTTAATACCTTCAAAAAGAAGTTCAGTTGCTTGAATCAAAATGTTCAATTGCAGATGTAATCTTAGGATTCTTCGTTGTTGTAATAGGGGTCATTGTACTCTACTGAGTCTATAAATCAAATAAAAGAGAGATAGAATATCAAGAAAAAAGTTTAAATATTTTTGGATGATTACAGAATTGGGAAGCCCATAAGTATGATAAAAAATTCTTTTCAATGATTCTTTCTTGGCCTTACCAGCTTCAAATCAATTAAGATGTTTCCCATGTTGTATAGCTATGCATTTTTATCAAGTCTCAAAGTATGCTTGGTTAAAAATAAGAACTCATGTATTTTCTTTTATGCACTCTTTAATTCAAACTCATGCTGTATTCATAATTATTTTGAAGAGGAATGAGAAGTTCCAAGTCTTCACATTATTCAGTATATTTCAAGCTCTGTTGGAATCTGAATAGATTATGCTCAATCAGAAAGCTATACATCTTTTATTTGTATTCAATAATGTTTTTTTTTTTGACAAAAAAAAAGTAGAATTATTAGATTTTAAGATGCTTGTTGCGTAATTAGAAATAAAGTGATAGGAATGAGAATGCATGAATTAGAATGAAAATTACGAAATCGAAATGACATTTGTATTTTCATGTTGTGTAAAAATAATTTTATGAAACTATAATGGTTGTAAAAATAATAAAGATGATGATTGTGGTAGTGATTATGACAACGACGGTGGTAGGAACGGCGGTGGTAGTGGTTGTGGTAGTCATAATGGTATGGTAGTGGTTTTTATAGTGGTGGTGGTTGTGG